TCTCTCTCTCTCTCTCTCTCTCTCTCTCTCTCTCTCTCTCTCTCTCTCTCTCTCCTCTCTTTCTTTCTTTTTAGCAAAGTAAAACTTACATGACCGGCTTTGCAGACTTTATCCATGAACAGACGGAATAAATCACAGAATTATCTTTCATTCAAGTCAAATTCTCAGGCTGGTCACTGAGACACACTCCCCTTCTCCTTCCTCGCCGTCATAACTGGGAGTGTTTAGTGCCTCTTCTTCCTTCCTTCCCTCCTTTCTCCCCCAGTTGGGGACCCACCCAGGTTCGACGTAGGCTTTCTCCGCTGCGCTACAACGTGGAGTAGCGGCAGCCCAAACTCAAGGATTTTAAATTCCGGTGGTGACAATCCTTGCATAGCAATGGAGCTGTCGACCGAGACAGCAGATTAAGGGATTATCCGTACGAGATTTCGCCCCGCTTTGTTGGTGTTTTTTTCCCCAGTTCGAGTCTTCCTTTACGCAAGTTGAATCTTTAGCCCCGGATTCAAAGAATCCTGTAAAAGCTTGTTACTCCTTGCTGCCTCTTGGCGTGTCGCTGCATGTCCGCAGGAGATTGCCATCACACGCCAGACGGATCCGCGGCTTGCTCCAATCGACTGGCTCCTTTCTTCGCTCCGTTAAGTTGACGAGCTCTTCTCTTCTCCTGGAAGAACAGGATTCCCGCAAAAAAAAAAGAACGGGTACCACACCCACTTGTTTGAAACCGGCAGGGCGCTGAAAGGTTGACGAGAAATGTTCTGTAAGAAGAAAATTAAAAGCACGGGCGGTCCTTGCCTTGCAACCGTTCATTTAGGAGACCAAAGTTACGACGTCGACTGAATGGTACAATGGTACAATGGGAAAAATAATAAAAAAATTTTGGCATAATATAGAACGAGAGGACAGATGTTGCTTCAGAACCATCTGCTCTTCACTACAGAATGGAACAGAACAGAATAAGAGATTCGGAAGGGACCTTGGAGGTCATCTAGTCCAACGCCCTGCTCAGGCAGGAGACCCTACAGCAGTGGGTCTCAACCTCCCTAATGCCGCGACCCTTTTAATACAGTTCCTCATGTTGTGGTGACCCCCAACCATAAAATCATTTTATGTTTTCTGCCTTT